ATCAGTCCTGCCTGTGCTGGGGTTTATTGACATTGCATTACAATATTAGGGGGACTGTTAGGAAGGTTTTGATGGAACAATCTAAATATTATAGGACTGGAGTTAGGGTTGGATCTTACTACTGAAATCTTCCATTATTTCAAGCTGTTTTTCCATGTAAGATGTAAGAAAACTTCACAGAATGTACCAGAGAACTGATGAAAGAATCTAGAGGTGTTTGGATTTCAATGAAGAAGCATATTTTCCCCAACTCCAATTTTATTTATTCCAGTTTTCTTACTGTTAGCACAGTCCTCACATTCCTAAGACAGAGGTCCTGCATGTACGTGTTTCTGTTTGGGGAAGGGAAAAGGGGAGGTGAGGTGTGCTTTTGTTCCCTGTGTTTGTTTTGTTTGCTGTGGGGTAGCTGACAAATAAATGCTTGTTGATAGTTATAGCACACTCCCTTGGGCATTTAAGGATATTTTCTATATTAGTACTGCCCTTCACCACAGTGTTAGAATTCCCCATCTGCTCCTGCTCTCCCACACAGACATGTGCCTTCTTTCTCTTTCCACATCCAAACAGGAATTACAGAAGCTGGAAGAGCAAAGGGAGTTCACTGTCTTCAAGGAGATCCTGCCACTCTACCACCACCACTTGTATTGATTACTTACCTCTAGCAAGCCAACAAAGTGCTGAATTTCCAGTGTAATGTCAAAAGGACTTGTTTTGGTTAATGTCCTTTCTACAATTGGAAAGCAGCTTTTCTTTAGCATATTTAGATCTTTTCACACAAAGCTTATGAAGCCTAATTTGAGCCTGTTAATCTTTTTCTTGGTAACCCATAGAAAAGCACAGCTGCACTACTAAAAGCACACTGTTTATCCACAATCACTGGGTCTGGGCAGCCCGCAGCGTTCCAAAGATCAAAGTTTAAAACAGACATGCCAGTCCTTCCTAATTCTTTGTGTTTAAGCACACAGCACCACGAAGTCTAAATTGCTGCTGCTGAAAGCTTGTGCTGAGCTTGGGCCTATGCTGATGTGAGTGCAGCCCCTCCTGCACCCTGGCTTTAACAGAAAGGTACGTCCTGGCAGCTCGATAACTGTGAGGTAAAGTGGGACAGACAAGTCTAACAGTGCTCATGAAAAGCTCATCTGGTTACTTACTCATTCCTTTTAAATTAAAGTAAATAATGTTAAGGATTTTCTTTCTTTTTTTTTTATTTTTAAATATTTTTGCAACTGAGTTTCACCCCTCCTTTTTCTTTCTTCATTGCTTATGTGGGAAAACTAACACATTTGTACAAGGATAAACTGGGAAGTCTGTGGTTTCCAGCATGCACATTTTGAATAATATTTATACAGACTATTATTTAATGGTCCATATAAATATTTATAATATGCTGTAGCCTTTTGATCATAAATGCTTGTTTGAAAAGCCATTCTGTCCCTGCTGTGATTTGCAGAGAAAGAGGCCGTTGCTGGTTTAGTGCTTGGAGGGAATTTTGGCTTCTTGTCCTGACTTAGCAGTTACAGACATGGATTAACACGGTCAAGCTGGACATGTCTTTTGAGTTTACTTTTTCCCTCTGCCCCTCTCCTTCTGTTTGCAAATTCAAATAATAAGTTGCAAATATGAGTCTTGAATTCTGCAGTGGACAGACAAGGCTTTATTGAAGTTCTGGAGGCCTTTTTTCTTGGCTGCAAGGAGCCAGGCTTCCAGAGTTTCTTCAGGGATTTAGAAGGTTCTATCTCCACTGCCTTCCACCCCTTGGAAGTCCATGAACATGCATCATGGACTTCCAAGTCCATGCATAAAATATTTTGGTGCCTTGTTAGGAATATTGTGCTTGATGAACTGACCTGTCTGACTGGACTTTTAGGACATTTTATTTCAGTTATTTTTCTGGTTCAGTTTTCCTCATGATTGTATTGCCTGCAGAAATATAGAATCCAGCAGATAAAAAAAATCCAAACCAATGTTTTATTTGCACAGCAGTTTTCTTTTCACATGACAATTAATGTTGGTGTCCAAATTCCAAAGCAACAAGCTTGTGCAGGGACCTTCTGCTACCCCTGAACTCCATTAAAGAGTTCCTTCAGCTCTGATTTGGAGCTTCCTTTTGTACCAAATAAATCTTCTGGAAACAAAACAGAATGGCCACATTCCTTTTTAAAATTCTTATCACTGTACTTTGGCTAAATATTTTCCACCAACTTCTCTGCTGAGTTCTTAGGTTCTCAAGAAATACCCTTGGGCAGAGTCCATAATTGCTGACATTTATGACCTAGAGATGACAGTGCTTTTTGTGGATGGGGTTGATAAGTAGGTGGCATACCAAGTGTTTGGTATTCCAAAAAAACCCTTGGCATCAAATTATGTTTTTGCAAGCAGATCAGATCCTGTTGCAGAGACACTTTACTTTGAACAGCCTCTGTAATTTAGTGCTTGCTGTTCTTGAAAAAGGATTAATATTTACTTTTAGCCTTTTTTTAAATGAGATATTGAGTGAATCTTGCTGCTTTGTGAATCTAGATGAGCTTTATTCAGAAAAAGACCAGTTAAAGTAAGTTTGGGGTCGCTGGTTTTGTACTGTCGCTTAACTCTTTCATGTTCCCACTGATTGACAGCAATAAACTGGTGGATGTGCAAAGGCTGATATGCACTGCTCGAGCACATAAACAAACTCTGCTTCCTGCCCAGTCACTCACACAGGCACATCCTGGTTGCTTAGTAAGGAAAAAAAAGGAAAGTAAACATTACATGGGCAGATTGGGTTCCAGGTTTCAAATGTTTGTGGGAAGAATCCAATGCAAAGCCATAATTTCAAGTGCTGAGTAGGAGGTACTGTGAGCTTAATTCTCTAACATCTGCTAAGCTTGTTCTCTAAGTAGCAAAAACACATTAATGAGCTAAAATCAAGGCTGCCATACAAGGAAGAGAAATTTGGAGTAATATTGTGTGTGTGAGCAAGAGGCAGGATATAAAATACTCCTTTTGCTATTTGTATTTAGTGAAGAGCAAGTAAGAAGGATTTGCCTATGTTTAAAAAAAAAGAATCTGTTTTGCAGCTTGTGGTTTATTCTCAACTTTTTATGAGTCAGCAGCTAAAGGCAGAGCCGAAATAGGGGAAAAACAGGGAAATTTGTGAGATAGTATCAGGAACAGTATTATGCAATGTCTTTGTAGTAAAATTTCTCACAAGGAACTTGCAGCACCTGCAGCCAACCTTTGGAGCTTTGGGGAGGTGGAGTGCAAAATTAAGAAGTAAATACCATGTTGAAAAGAATGTCTTAAAACTGCTTTTCCAGCTGAGAGCTAAGAGGGAGAAGCTGAGTGCTGTCACCCCCCAGGTGACAGATGCAGTATTAATCACCCATAGCAGCAAAGTTGTCTTCTCTGGCAGAGGGGTTGGCTTTTGTTCCTCTGACCAGGTCACAGAGCCAGGGCCAAGAAAATAAAGCAGGCCTTCTTGCCAATATTCCTAGGTGTTAGACTCATGGCACACCATTATTTTTAGCTGATTGCTCATCGCTTGGACACATGACCTTGCTTAAGGAGATTAGTGTGTGTTGCACCTAATCTGCTGGGCAGAACCAGCATGCTGGGAGGCAGCAGCCAGGATTTCCAGCAGGACCACAATATGCTCTGTAGCTTGGAGGTTTTTTTCTACTTTCTGACATTATTACAAGCTGGTGATCTGTGCTGCTACTCCAGTGACCCTGCAGGGTGTGAGCAGAATGTGGTGTGGTCACTGCTTTGGTCTGTACCAGGGACAGAACTCCCTCGTGCTGGCCAAGCAAAGAACAAAACCATGGACCCTGGACCCAGCAGTGGGGTTTGGGCATGAAGTGCTAGATTGAATCAGGGAAGAATGAACGTGTGAGCACAGATCTCCACTGACTGTCCACATTTCCATGAGCTGTTTAAGGGGTGGGAGGAAGGGAAGCCTCAGTTGGTTTCTTCAGCCAAGGTGTTGTTTTATACCATTTTCAGTGCAAATGAAACTTTGTCCTAATTAATTATTATGCAGAATTGGAGTTTTTTCTCTATTTCATCTGCTGCCTCTAACCCTCAATGATTGTAGATTTGTGATATCTATCAGCAGCAGTCGTTATAAGACAGCCATGGATGTGAAAGACACTACATTATGCCAGTAGATCTTGACCTGTACTCAGTGTTATTATTAAAAAAAAGAAAAAAATATTAATTTGAAATGTGAATAATCATATTCTATTAATCAGGACTTACCAAATCTTTCCCCCTGTGCTTATATTCCTCCCTCTGACAACCCCATCTACCATATCCAGATATTAGCAGGTCACTTCTTTGGAAGTGGGCTGTTTTAAAGTAGAGCCATTTTGATGCTCTGTAAATACCATGTGTTTTAAATGCCAATTTATCCATTTCATTTTCTGAATATCAGAAGCTGTGTGTCAGCTGAGTTTTACGTGTTTCAGAGATGTAAAAGGTTCATACAAGCACTAAACATGGTATTTGTCTGACGTTTCAAATATTTCTATCAGCTCTTACTTAGCATTCTCACAGCTTGATTAAAATGTAAATGTTAACTATTAATTAAGAACAAACCGTGAGAAATTAAGAACAGTGAATCTGTCACTGTATTAAATGTCAAATAGTTAAACTTAATATAGTGAAATAAGCAACTCATTGTGAATAATTAAATCAATTAACTTAACCTCACTTTGTTCTTGTAAGATGTCAGAGTAGGCAGAGTTTTCACACCATGCTCTCATGGCTCAACACATTTTCAGAAAATTATTTTCTGAGTCTTAAAAGTGATGTGAATTGATGGTGGAGAGCTCTTGGAGACTTTATTTATTTTTTTTCCCTCTGGGTAACATGTAACCGATTGTCATGTTGTTACTTTATAATTACCAGCATCACAGCGCAGGTGGGAAGTTTAGCTTGGTGGGAGGCAGCAGCTCTTGGCACTTTTTCCGTCAGTCTTTTTATATGCTTTTAACCCCTTTTTTTCCCTTTTCCTTTGACAGGTTTTATTAAACATGCCCAGTGAGAAGCAGACTGCAGTGAAATACTACGTGGGAGTTGACGTGGGCTCAGCCAGCGTTCGCGCGGCGCTGGTGGACAGCTTTGGGACAGTGGTGGCACACGCAGAACAACCCATCCAGGTTTGGGAGCCCCAGCCAGACCACTATGAGCAATCCTCTGCAGACATCTGGGCTGCCTGCTGCTCTGTCACAAAGGTGGGCGAGGACAAGGTGAAGGATTTGTGTTACAGGTGGCTCTGCAAGTTTTGATTGTTCATGGTCCTGCAGTCCCCATGCCTGTCAGTTCCACTCGGGTCTCCTCATGCTGTGTAACTTGTGACCACCCTTGTGCATTGAAAGCACCTTGAAGCTGATGCAGCCTCACAAATGTCTGTTTTACTGGTGAGGAGTTGAAGGCCAGAGTGAAAAAAACTCATGCTACAGCTGCAGATAGGATGAAAGACCTTTCTTTGTGCTGTTATTGCAGAGGGAGGATTTAGCCACTGCCTCCAGGTCTCACATCTGTGAGCTTTGTTTAGCTGGTGTATGCTCTACCCATGAGACAGTTCTTGGAGGAGTCAAGGTTGCTCAGAACCTGGCAGTGCATATATCTAGAGATGTGCATTGGGCTGCTCTGGAGTCATAAAGAAGAATTTATTGTAGAGAAATTGTAATCTGGATTTTGGATGGCCCCTAAAGTAACACTTGTTATCCTCATTATAAAAGGATCCAGTATTATAAGATCAAAATAAATAATAAATGTCTGTGGATAGTATCAGGCATAAAACCAGATTGAAATAGACTTTACTACAGTGGAAAATTTGTACCCTCTGATCCAGGGCTCCTGTACATGCTGGAGATAAAGGTAAATTAGAGACCTTGCTTGCAGTGCACACAGAGGCCATTTCATCCTCCTCACTACAGCCCATGCCTGCTGCATGTTCTAAGGTTGGCTTTTTAAATATTCATGATACGCTTGGTAATTTGCAGATGGACTGTTCACCCATTGTCTTGTTATTGATCAGCCTTTTCAAACATTAATGAGCTTGGCTCTGCAGAAATGCCCTGAGATGGAGAAGAGGAGGTGAGTGGATAGAAGGAAAAGAAGGGAGTGACAGGAATGATAGGGAAGAACAGCTTGACATTAAAGCAGAGCAAGTCTTCCTCTGCTTATTTGATTTTTCTCTGTCTGAGTGGCTTTGTTCTTGCTCTTGACCTCTTTAAATGCAGTCTCTCATATTTAAGCAATAAAATGGTCTCAGAAACTGCAGTTTTACAGAGCCAATAAGAGACTGGCACTGTGCAAGTCTACTAAAAGTCTTTCCTTATAGTACTAATTAAAATAATGATATTTTTATTGTTGCTGAGAAGTGACAATTTATTACTGTGCTACATTTTAGGTGTCTTGCGACCTCATTTGGCACTTAATTCTTAATTCTTGTGGGTGTTGTGTTTTTTTTTCCAGTGCTGCTGGAAGCCATGAAGTTCAGGCATTTTGGGGCAATGGTTTGGTTTTTTTTTTTTTGAAAACCTTCCAGAAAGTGTGCTATTCACACTCTTGGTAGCTGAGTAAAGGTGTGCATTGCAGAGGTGTTATCATGGCTACAGGTTTTGACCAACTTTAGTTTTGGAACCCTTCAGTATTGCCAGACAAACACAGTATTACCAAAGCAGTTCTGGAAGATTGTTGCTTCCACGGGCAGGAAGTCAGTGAAGTAACTCATGGAAACACTTGCTCCTACTCCTGGTCCATGTTTCACATCCAGTTCAGCTCCAAGCTTTAGACAAGAGAGAAAATTAACATTGCAGGTTTTCTGCTACCTTTATTTACTGATATTTTTGTGCTCCCTGCTTTTATCCAGGACTGTGGATAAAGACCTCTGAATTCAGATTTGAAACACAAAGAATTTCTGGTAATTTGATGTGTTTATATTGGAAGTTTTAAAGAACACTGAATTTAGGAAATTTCAGCATTTGAGCTAACTTATTTTTTTTGGTACTCTCTAGTTCACATGGCACTTGCACTTGCATGGATATATTTGTATTCCTGTGTGTTTTGTGCATTTTCAGGAAGTTGTCTGTGGAGTGGATGCCAGCCAGATCCGAGGGCTTGGGTTTGATGCTACCTGTTCCCTTGTTGTGGTGGATAAACAATTCCAGCCTTTGGCAGTCAACTCTGAAGGTAGAGCTGCACACAAAACATGGTGTTACTGTGTGAGTTTTACCACTGGTGGGAGGGAACTTCCCATGTCCTCCAAAGACTCTTGGAGATGGAGATGACACAGACTCTTTTTTATAAGAGGATTTTTTTTACCTGGTTTTACTGTTTTAATTTTACTGCAAAATTAAATCTGAGATGAGAATTAATTACTGTTTAGTTAAATATTTGGCATCTTAAGATCCCATTCATTCATCTTGGCTCTGAGAAATTTCTTCTTAGGGAAATCTACACTCATTTTTCTTTTCGGCATGTTTTCTTCTCCTTCAGACTGTACTGATCGTGGCTTTTATAGTGTGTATAAATGCCCATCCACACTGGCTAAAGGTATGTTAAAAATGCTAGTGTTAGTGTAGTCTAACTGCTTGCTCTGTCATGGAGCTGCAGGCAAGAAGTTCAGTTTGTGTATTTTATTACACTGGTGTTCTGTCTTTGTCTAGGATAGTCCTGAGCTAAAAATCTGGGGCGTTTTATTAGTTTTTGGGTAGATGATTCAGAAGACTCACAGAAAGTCTGTTCTGCACTGCTTTTACCCAGTGAATTCCACTTAATATTAAGTGTGTGCTATATCAGTAGTTACAGAGACATAATCATAATTCTGTGTATGTTCCCTTCTCAGATGTGTTTGTCATCTCCTTCTATCCTTCTCAAAACCCAGCTTTGCCCCCAAAATGTCCTTTTCTAAATTTAGATCAGATTATTTATTTTTCAGTTTGAGAGTCTCTTACAATCTGTTCAATGCCTAATGATGTCTGAGGCTATTTTGGGTCTAATGAGTCAAATTCAGTTCTCATTTTCTGTGCTCTGATATCCCCAAGAACTTTGAGTTTACACAGTGGTGGTGCTAAACAACAAGACAAGAATTCACTCAATACTGTAATGCTGCGAAGAGCCTGGCAGTGGTGGTATTTCAGGCAGTTTCACAGTTCTGAGCTGTATTTCAATCCATTTTAGAAATATTGATGGACCTCACACTTCTGCCTTGTTTTGCACTGTGTTTCCAAGATGAAGCTTGAGTGGCTATTCCTTGGAGTGTGCAGTGTACTTAGCCAGAGAGGAATCTGCAGTGTCACCTGGATTACTGTTCCCCCTCTCTGGCAGGTCCTCTGGAGGTTAATTTGGATAAAATGTTCTTTGCTTCTTGTTCTCATTTGTGTGTGCTGCAGACTTGCCAAATGCTTTTTCCTTGCACATCCAAAATAAAAGCATTTCAGCAAATTCTCCCCCTCGAAACAGTATTTTGGAAAGGAATTAGGGTGGTTCTTCTCATAACCATAGAAGAGGAGAGAGAATCCCTGCAGCTGATTGAGCTAATTTCAATTCGCAACATAATTGTTCAGATTTTGTCACATTTTTAGTTTTTGGTCACCAGAATGTTCCTTTATATTTTTAACTAAATATGTGAACTTTGTCGGGAAGTTTGGTTTTTTTGAATGAAATACAAGAGAACATGGTGATTCACAGTTCTTGGATGCTCACAAGCCTGATTGGTTTCAGTCAGCATTCTCAGTGTTCAGCATGTGCTAAAGTTGGGTCAGAGGGCTAAAATTTTATATTTAGAAATCCACTGTGAATTATTAACACAAACAGAATTTGAGTTTTCAGTGTAGAAGTGAAAGTGTGAAGCAGTTTAGAGCCTAGTAACTTACAGTGCTGAGCTGGGGTTAAAGCAGGGCTAAAATAACTCTTTTCCTGTTTCCCCCCAAGGACAGAACCGTAGGAATGTGATCATGTGGATGGACCATCGTGCAGCGAGCCAAGTCAGGCGCATCAATGCCACCCAGCACAGGGTTCTGAGCTATGTAGGGGGAGCCATGTCTGTGGAAATGCAGCCTCCTAAATTGCTCTGGATAAAGGAAGTGAGTACATTTAACACTCTGGTGCATTTTTACTAGTGATTAGTGCCCTTGTTAATTCCTGAGAATGAGATTTCTCAAACAAAAGCCTTCAGTCTTAGTGTTGAACGCCAAGGTGTATGCCAAGTACGGTCAGGCTAAAGTTGTGATTTAAACCTTCTAATGTTCTTTCTTCCTCTCAGTTTTGTAGAAATATTTTGATTTCATTGAAGTGGAGTGTTCCCTGAGAGAAACATTCCATATGCCTTCCTTATCTAAGATTAGATATACAAACAAATAGAGGTACAGATAATAAATGAAGTATTCTAGGATTTAGTTATGGAGATGTGTTTCCTACTCCAGCTGGAGCCTGGAGTGCCAGAGGAGTGCCTTTGAGGCATCCAGCATTTCAGGGTGTGATGGCCATGGCTGCTGGTAAAGGAATTCTCTAGTTCCAGCTTCAATTCAGTTCTGTCCCATCAGTAGGAATAAACCATGTGTAGGGGGAAGGTGCCCTGTGTGTAATGTGGACCTCTACCTCTGTCTCCTGTGTTTAAATTTGGTGTGTTATAATGAAGTATGGCTTCTTAATAACAACTGTCAGATAAAAGGAGAGACACTTGCCACTTGAATTTTTTATAACCTCCTCCAGCCTGGCTTTTTACATTTGGCCTCAATGATGCTCACTGTCATTTTAACAAAGCCCAAATGTAAATTACTTGCTGCCAGTTTCAGACAGCCAAATTCTCCTGTCCTTACAGACATGAGACATTAGATTGTAACAAGGTGCAGATTGGAGAAAGTCTAAGGAATTAACTGGTAGAAGCAGGTACTGACAGATTAATGATAACAGAGGGTAATGAATGTTGATAATGAAATATGAATATCCATCTACTAGTTCTTCCCTTCTCGAGCTATGAGTATCATACATCAGTCATTTTATAAATAATAAAATGTAAGCTGTAAAAACATTCAGTTAATCCTTTGCATTTAAAGCATTTTTATATTGCAAGGTCTGGGATATCAGTACCTGACTGCTCAGGAAATCCAGAATTATGGGATGATCAAACGTGGTCATGTGGAGGTGTGAGCCTGCTGTGACCTCAAAGCCCTGTGCATGATTGCTGTGGTGTAAAGGGCAGAGCATTGCAGGGCTTGCTCCCTCCATGAACCATGGGTGGGACACAGGATTCTCCTGACCCCAGGTGCCAGCCAGCAGCAGGGATTTCCTGGCAGAAGGGTGGTACAGAACAGGGCTTGTTCACATGTCCCTTTTCAGCTCCTGACACACCAGCTAAGGAGATTATTGTCCTTAAGAGAGGGTTTTTCACCTCAGTGTCTGCCTGCTGAGCTGCCCACTCACAATTCCTGAGTGCTCTGGGCATGACTCACCATTAAACTGCTTAAGCTTGTCCTGCTTAGCTCGGGCACCTCGGCACCCACAGCAGCACCTCAGCTGCTCAGGAGCAGGAGCAGTTATCCTGCAGTGGGCTGTAATCTGCTGAGATGTGGTTAAACCTTTCAGCTCTGGAGAGGTGAGGGATTGAGTGCTTTTACTGCTTCTGTACTCCTTGCAAAGTAGGAGGGGGAAAGGAATTAGGTGCAGAGGCACGGTTTATTTTCAGTGCCAGGTACAGTACTGCATCCATGGCTTACCTGACATCAGGGCTGTCAGCAAAGGGTCACTTTGGCTTCTGACAGCTCAAACTCAGCCTCATGTAATGCAAGTGTCCTCACTTTTTGCCAAGGAAGGCAAATCTTACAATAACTTTGAACGTCAAGTTGTTCAGATGAAACCTACAACAGCAGTTTGCACATCTGATGTTTCTCAGTGGGCTGTCTTGAATTGTGCTACAAATGTAAATTATTGAAGTCTCTTCAGATTCTTTGTTACTAATATTTTATATATCATAAACTGTAACACAGGTATTACAGGTATGGTAAAGAAAAATACTTACAGAATGGTGTTTAATGTGTTCTTCCTATTTTTTGAGTTGTATTATCTTAATTTTCTGTGATTAGTGTATTTCTCAATGGCAGAATGAGATTTTGGTCTAGCTCACACACCACAGGGAAAATATACTTTATATTCTGACTACAGGATTATCTCTTAAGCTAGTGATAATGCACAAGCTGGTAAAAAGGAAGCTTAGTTTTCAAATCCCATGGGAGAATTGCAAGATTAGCAGGTAGAAAGACACATTTTCATTTTATTCTATCCTTTTCAACTATCTTAGGGCTTTGCAATGTTGAAATTCAAATTCCCATTATGCTTCTACTTAATTATGCTATCTGGTGTTCAGAAAATGAGTGCACTGTACCTGGTTTGACCTGGTCACTGCCTGGGAAAGTCTAACAGTGTTCCCCACACTGTGCCTGGCTGTGATCATGGCTTTGGTCTCTCCAGCTTTCCTGACTATTGAGTGCAGTGAGATGGGGTTTTTTTTCTCCTTTCCTTCTTTATTCCTTTCTCAATATTCCTCCCTAATGTTGTCATATACCTGACAGCATTCCAGGAAGTTAAAACAAAAACAGTGGATTGGGCACATTCTCCTGTGTCTGACCATAATCAAAACTGGCTAAACCAAGGTGTGTCCAGAAGCTACTTTGAGCCTTTGTTCCTTTGGTTGGCATCATGTTTCTGGAAAGTTCTTGATCAGGAGACTTGACATGGCTGCAACACATTCAACACAGGGATGTTTGTAAAGAAGACAAAGCAGAACAAAACCCACAGCCAGACACTTTGCCTGGTCATGCTCCAGGTCAGCTTGTACACCCTAATATATGAAGAATCACTGGATTTTTTCTTTGAATTCTCTGGACCTGATTTTGAACTCCCCAAAATTTAGTGTTTCTGCTAGTAAATGGTTTTGCTGATTTCCCTCTGTACATCTTTGCCTGGGATTGGAGCTGTGCACGTTCCACAGCTGCTTGCATTCATATGGATTTTGCAGAGAGAGTGCAGTGGGGAAAAGTACTGCTTTATGTCTGAAGTGAAATAATAAAATAGAAATTAAATAATAAAGATAAAAGAAATAAAAGATACATTTAGGAGATTACTTAGGTGCCCTTTAGGAAGGAAGTTATTTAAAGTATTGATACTAAATGATGGTCTGTGCTTACACTGAGAAGTTAATTGTGTGTACATTGTTACCAAATCCTCCCTCTCCCTTTCCATGGTGCTGACCGGGGTCTGGAAGGCCACTTTAGGAGAAATTCTTGTCTCATGTTTTGCCCTGGGTTCTGCTAACAACAACTGTTTGCAAACCTGATCTCTGTGAGGAAGGCTCTGACACGGGTCTGACCAGCAGTGCTGGTAAGTTGTGAGTGATTAGGGTGTCTCTCAAAGAAAGAAGTGGAATTTCTGTGGCTTGAAGAATTTTTATCTAAGCAATTAAAAGTATTTCTAAAGAATATGACTTGCAAATTTACTGTGAATTGGTTGGAGGTGATGAAGAGGAAGGAGAAGGGGGAAAGGATGAAGATGACTTACAAGGCAGCTGGAGAGGGACTTAGGACAAGGGGGAATGGTTTCACACTGACAGAGGGCAGGGTTAGATGGGAAGAAATTCTTCCCTGTGAGGGTGGTGAGGCCCTGGCACAGGTTGCCCAGAGAAGCTGTGGCTGCCCCATCCCTGAAAATGTCCAAGGCCAGGAGGGGCTTGGAGCAGCCTGGGATAGTGGAAGGTGCCCCTGCCCATGGCAGGGGGTGGAACTGGGTGAGCTTTAAGATCCCTTCCAACCCAAACCAGTCTGGGATTCAATAATGACCTAACTGTGCTTTTCCATTTCCATCACCTTGTTCCTGGAATTGAAGCTGCAGATGACCTCACTCAGTGAGAGGAATGAGCTGACACCACTGTACAAGAAGTAGATACTGGTCCTTATCTCTTGTGGCTTTCTTCTTCCTCTCCCCCTGTATTTATTTGTGGAGAGTTGATGCAGGTTTTCTTTCAAGTCACAAGTTACTCTCATCTGCTTCTTTTTGACTTTCTTTTCCACATGATGTTTTCTCTTTAACATTTTGTCTCACTACACAGCATAGAGATGTAACTAGATACTGGAGTCTTCAGGGTGTATTCCCTTCTTCCAGCTCTTCATCTCCATTCCGAGTTTGAATTAAAAACCTAAATTATTAAGTCCATAATAGGCTTTTTGAGGTCTTGTCTTTGATTTGCTTACATTCAGTCCAGTTTGATTGGGGCTGAATAATTTTACCCTCTGGTACCTCTTAGTTATCATCCGTGAAATTAATTGGTTGGTCTTGATGCTTGTGATTGCAGATAGGTATTCCTATGGCAAAGCCATCCCTGCAAGTGGAGTTTGTGTGTTGGCACAGCTGTTGGCAGTAAATGATCAGCTGAATGCAGCTACTGTGAGGCCTGTGGGGCACTCTGGTTAAAGTGTGCATATCTGTGGCTCACTTAGGAGCAGCATTGTATTTTTCTGCCTGTGTGGATCATGTGTGGTGATAGAGTGCAGTGTTAAATGCAAAACCAAACAAATACATATTTTTTAATAAAGCTCACTTCTGTGGATGCAGCCACATTTGACTTTTGACATGTGGTCGCATGAATTAAGAACATCAACTGTAAATGAAGGTGAAGCAAAGAAACCTTTGACAAATATTTAGCAACTAGCTGAAAGATGGTTCTGACAAAGTCTTCCTGAAGCCACTAAGGTAAATTTGAATATAACCTTCACTAAAAAGGAAAGCAATTCCTGGTTGCTGGTTCTTTTAAAATAGCCAATTAAATTCACTGCATTTGCTGTTATTTCCTTAGATTTTGTTCTTTACAATTTTCTTACAAAACATTATTTCAATAGTTTTTTACTTCTGTAGTTGCTGGTATGTTTTTGTGCAGTTTATTGAGTGGGTTCTGTAATTTTGGTGACTTTGGCTAAAAAAACTGGATATTCACTGCCTGACTGTGTAGGTAGTTCTGGGAGGTAGGTGCCTGCATATGAGCTGAAACTGTGAGTACATAACTCCTTCACTTGGGAATTATTTTGCTGCAGGAGCTTGTCAGTACAACACAATTGTACAGAAATGGATGCTATGGCAAACCAGGGTTAGAGCAGTGAGAACACAGCTCAAACACAGCAATGCAAGAACTGCAGGGAAGGGTTGCCCAGCTACAGAATTAGTCTCTTAGTATTTTTTTTTTTTCTAGAGATAGCAGAAGAAAAAAATGTTGTTTACTAATTTCTGGCTGAAAATGTTATTGTGGCTTGTGCCAAAACGAAAGGATGCATGTTATGTTTTCCTCATACTAATGACATTACATACCAGCTATTTCTAAAAAATACTAGTCCCGTTAAATCAGAGATGCTGAACTTCATTGTTTATTTTAAGTGGGTGGGGGATGTTGGACTGGATGTTGGGGGGCAGGTATTTGTTTGGTAGCTGCCTCCAAATAAAGTGCAGTCTTCTATATTCTGTTTTCACAACTCTGCTCTTAATTTCATGTTTAAGAGCGAAGAAGAGCCTCCCTTTAGGAAAAAAATCCCAAACCATGGAGTGACTGTTTATCATATCATTCCTCTGCCATTAACAACTAAAATCAATAGTCAGTGAGTAGGGTTTTTTTCTAGCAGTCAGTGATCTTGCTGTATGTTACAGTTCACATCCTCAGATCTGCTGTGTGATCCATCACCCTTCTTCCTTCTGCACACCCGTGACTTGTAGCTAGCAGTGGGATCATTTGCAGAAACAATTAAAACCTCTCTTTCCCTGGCAGTGGGGGGAAGGATAGTGCATGTAGTGGCATTATTTTGGCATCATCTCCTTTGCTGGTGCATGTCTTCTTCACTGCTTGCTGCCCTTGCAGCTGGCTTTTTGTCTTGTTGAATGTGACTGAATATTTTTCCATTAAAATGAATAATAAATTCTGTGTTAAATGAGAATGACTCCAGGCTGTTGAGTTTGGAACTGAACTCTTGTTTAGAATTGTTTATAAATGTTTCAACACTCTGTGTTATCACAGTCCATACACAGTGCAGACACACATGCATAAGCTGTACTTCAGACTGAATCTGGTTTTTAGCCTCAGTTGCTGATCAGGCAGAGGTGCCATTTAGGAACAGCACTCACAGCTGGGAGATTTGAAGCACCTGCACCTCAGAGCACGTCCTGTTTGGGCTGTCCCCTCTGTGTCTCCTCTTCTCTGCAGTGGGACAAGGCTCCCAGCAGGCACACACTGTCCTCCCTGCCTTGTTCCAGCTTCTCTGGTTCAGATTCCACGTGCCTGCTCTGTCCCTCTGCAGCCCTTTCTGGCCTGGGCTCTGGTGCTTGCCTGCCTGTGGTGCCATGCCTAGGATGCCTCAGGGATTTAAGGGTGCCTGCACCACTGTCTGGGTGGTGCAGGCAGTTTTCTCCCCCTTCAGCAGCAGCCTTATTCCAAGAGTTTACTTTCCAAGCCCCTCCTCTCCCCCTGCCCTAGTTCCTGACTCTGATAATTCAGCCAGTTAATCTTTTACCAGTTGTGTCAGAATTGATCAGTTTGCAAGCATGACTCTGGCAAGGATGGAATTTCTGCTCATGGCCTATCTTGGGTGTCTGGAATAGCTCTATCACATGGCTTGGCATCCAGTGTGAAGTGTGGGAGATCCAAGTTGTAAATCCTTGCTTTGAGTGGGAGCAGGGCATGGGACATGAGTTTTTAGATCCCTGTGAGTGTGTGCATAATTCCCTTTCTTCCTTTCAGACAATGTGCATTTGTTTTCTGTAATTTAGATTAAAATGTATGTATTTTCAGTCCAATTAAGAAATCCCTCATTTTCTCTTCTTGCCTAGGAAGATTAAAATACATTGCACTGCATAATTCTTAAACTCTTTGACCCCAAGTATTTGGGATTACCTATAACAATGTCAAAATGTTACTCTGTGGAGTTGTAGCTGTTCAAGCAACCCAAAGCAATCAGAGAGAGAGAGATGAAGAAAGGGCACCCCATAAGTACCTCTGGAAAGCAGAAAGATTGTGAGTTCCTTTGCAAGAAAGTTTGGAGGGTGAGTTGCAGGATGTGAATACAGCATTGGGAACTTTCCTGGATCTTTTCCACAATCCTTTTAATGTGGTCACAGACTCCTGACTGGGTGAAAATAAATTTGAATTAACTTCAGTGAGTGTTGAAAACATGGAGACTTTAAATTTGTTTGGAAAAAGCATCAGGGCATGCTGTGATTTTTTTTTTGTCTGTACTAATTAGTGATGACACAGCATCAAGATGGCAAAAAATGAATCATTTGGATGTTCATGAAACAAAGTATTTTGAATGTCACTAACATGTGGCTTTTGGGAATTCTTGAAGTAATAGAATAAGGATCCAAGGAGTATTTGATGAAACAGATTTATTTGTAGAGGACAGTTATTCTTAATCCAGTTTATTTTCTGATTGAAGTAGACAACAGACTACTCCTGTTGCTTCTTGAAGGCTGTCAGGTGTGTTAACAACACATCATGGCTTTTATTATCAAAATAATCAGGTTGAATGATCTTTGGGCTAAACTATAGGGCACCTTGGCATTTATAGGAAGTTAATGAGTAGCAATGTCTGGGAGGTGAGCTAAATCTGAGTGGTCAGGAGCAGACATCCAAAGGTTGTGTGTTTTATGTTAAAAAGTTGTAATCACAGCATTTCTTTTTTTGATTCAATAGAAACCCAGTAAGTTTTAGAACCTTTTCGAGGTCTAAACTCAAGAAGTTTTAAGACAGATTCTTGGCATGACCCAAAACTAAGCAAATTTTGCTTTTTGTACTTACCCAGTTGCACCTTAGTTTCTCAAAATCATCTATTCCATTTCAGCAATTTTCTGGACTTGTATGATTTTGGTTTGATATCACAGAATGTCTAAATTATGTTATAGAATCACAGAATCACAGGATGATTTGGGTTGGAAGGGACCTTAAAGCTCATCTCATTCCAACCCCCTGCCATGGCAGGGACACCTTCCACTATCCCAGGTTGCTCCAAGTCCTGTCCAGCCTGGCCTTGGACACTTCCAGGGATCCATTGGCAGCCACAGCTTCTCTGGGCAACCTGTGCCAGGGCATCACCACCCTCACAGGGAAGAATTTCAAGAGCCAAATATTATTTCTTTAAAATGGAATAATCTTCTGCTTTAGTTCAGCATGTACATTCTAGACACTTGACACTTCCAGAAAGACCCCAGCAAGGACTGGGTTTCTAGAGCAGGAGCTGCTATTAAGTGAGAAAACTTTGGACTTTTTGATTATTTAAGAAGCTGGTGGAGGTTTTTCAATCAATCTTATCTTCCCATGGAAGTTCAATTTGTGACCCTTGTGGGCTTTTGTTTAGTTTTGATAGTCTCTACTTATTTTAATGTGCTGGGGTCAGAGGGGACAATTGGGATTGCTTTGCAGGACAATGATGCTCACTGTCTGTCACACTGGAATACAACATTACTCCTGGGAAAACTTTCTTCACATTCATCATGGTCTGATGCCTGTGGGTGGTGTGGGGATTGTGTTTGTGGAAAAGTAGTTTGGAGATGGAAAACAGACTGAGCTTTGGAGATGGAAACAGGGAATAGAGCCTGGCCCAGGTGTGACCAGCTTTTTCTGGACCATCATCTCTCTCAGAAAACAGTGGTGGAAACTCCTTGTAAATGAGCTATCTTGGTAGAAGAGTTTTTTAGGAGTTTGGGAATGTTGTGTGTGGCTTTTCAGATCTGCAAGCTTTGTTTGTGCGATCACAAAGCTCTTTGTTTTCTTCTTGTGCTTATAACTAACAAATACTAAATTTTAAATCTTAAATTTTAAGCATTTTAAGATCTTAAATGGCTTATATTAGAAAATAGAACATTTTTCAGGCAAATGTTTTTTGATAAAGTTGTTGGCTTTGAAACTGCTCTGACATCGAGCAGCTGATGGGGAACAGAGACACCCCAGGTTATTGATCTGAAACTTGTGCCTCCATGAACTCTTCATGAGGAACTTTGCCTATGATCAGTCTGTGCTGGGGGAAAGGCTCAGCTCTCCAAACAGTAAATCAGAGAGAAAAGCTGACTGGATGATCAGAGCAATGAGTTTGAAAAAATGGTCATTTTTACCTAAATATCAGGATTTTAATTGCATTAAAATAAGGGCATGACCATGCCTGACCTCTAATATCTGCCTTTCTAAACATATTTTTATTAGAACTTGCCAGAATCGTGGGAGAAGGTTGGCTACTTCTTTGATCTTCCGGATTTCTTATCTTGGAAAGCCACAGGTGTCACTGCAAGGTATGTTAATTATAACAATATGATTTTTGTCTATTTTCTTATGTACATTTCTGCTTTAATTCATTTTGACTGGACCTGCTGTTATGTACATCTGTCTGTAATTCAGCCAGCTCCAAAACATCTTGAACCTATCTCCTGCCTCCATTGTGCATTCCTGAGCACAGTTGTTCCTGGGAGCAGTGGAATTCACAGATACAGTGTGTTGCTGCAAAATGTCATTTTGGAGCATAAATATGATTGCTGGAGTTCCTGTGAAATACACTTCCAATAATTCTTTGAAATCTATTTTGTTGACAAATTTATTGACTTTTTTGAGAATTGGAAATACACACTTCTTTGCCATGTGGGAGGGCTCTGGTAAAATCTAATTTAAAATGGTCACTTCACTGTAAAACATGGCAGCTGTGCTGCTTCACAAAAGTACCCTGGAATCCTTGCTGAGTAGTTGAACAAAACCATCTGAGAGAACCCCTTAAAAATCTGGATTGAAGTGACCAACACAGGGTCATTTGCAGATCCTTGTGAGAAGTGAGGGCCAGTATTATTTATTTAAAATCATGCCCAGTTCAGTGCAGCTCACAGTTATTTCCATTGCAACTTGTGAAGTAGAATCTCTGCAAAATGTAGTCTCAGATGAAAACTGACCACAGGATAGTTTTAGTCTGTTTGGAAATAAAGACACCTTCTTATCAGATACAGTTCTTTTTATTTGAGTGCTCTATTTCTCTCTAGTTAGTTTTCCTGATTGACAGCTATTGTTAGAGCATTATACATTATATATTCCTTGCATTATACAGCAGGGAAGTGCTATGATTGACTTAAAAAATGCAAAAAGAGGAGTTGTGCAAGGACTTGCCAGATGATAATTGATAAATGGCATCTTACATCTTCTTCCTTTGGACTTTCAGTCAGATTTTGCTGTCTAACTCTGAATTATGTAACAGAAGAACAACTCCCACCCCACAGATCTTGCAATCTAAACAGTCCTGTCACCTGACCCAACGCTACCTTCAAGAGGATAAATTCCTGGCTTCCAGATTATATTCCAGGGTCTGCTTCTTGTGAAAGTACTCAAAACTTTTAGAATTAGCACCCTTTGCTCAGGGCATGAGGTGGGGGAGGCTCTGAAAAGGGAGGGCACAGTGATCCTGACAGCTCCATGGTCCTGCCTGGCTTTGGCTTTGTGTCCTTGGCTGCAATTTCCTGCGGGTGAAGCAGAGAATCTCTCTGGAGAAAATAAAAAAAAAAGAGTTGCAGAGGATTATACTCAAAAATTGAGATGCCTGAATTTAGACTGGAAAAAAAAAGACTTGCAGAGGATTATACTCAAAAATTGAGATGCCTGAACTGACAAGTTCATTTCCTTAGCAAGGACAATGTGATTACTCAAAATCTTTTGATTGTATTGATGTTATAAGGGAGAATGGAATGTTGGGAAAAGACTCTCTGGGTAAAGTCTTCTCTCACACTTTGGTTCAGAGTCTTCTATTTTGAGTAAAATAGCTCCTTGTAAATCTTTCATTGCTGTCATTAATGTGCTCCCCAAAATCAAGCCCATTGTTTGGGCTCTAGTGGATTTTCTTGTAGGATATCAAAGAAGGAAGAAAAAGACAGGAAAACAATGACAAGAAACATTTTGCTAGAATCAAACCTTTTTTTTTTTTTTTACTTTCTCTGCTTTACCCCATGTACACCTGTTTTCTGAGAATTTTCTTGTAGGCTGGTGAAGTCAAGTAATTTGTCCTGCATGTACTCATAATACAGGGGAAGTGTGAATTTATCATGTATGAGATTATTACCTCTTACCACCCTTTCTGCCTTTGAGCACAAAGGAGTCTATTCACAGAGCAAGACACTGTTAGTCACTGTGAATCATACAGAACTTGGCCCTGATAAAAGAAAGATTTATTTTTTTAAAATTTGTTTTGGTGATGGGGATTTTACCAAAATAAATGCAATTCTGAAAGCACTTTTATAACAAAGACCTTGCTTCTTTAAATTTTTAAAGGGTTCTCTAAAACATTTTCTATGTATTTGACATTTAGAAATTATGTAAAGTCTTTTTGCCTTCAGTGAGGTCACTGTGCACAAAGTTAAGTAGTGTGTGAGATCAGAGTTTGATGTATTAGAAAAGCAGTTCTTGATGTGTGTTTCTAAGTATGAAATCCTACGTCTTTCACCTTTCATTCTGCTGGCTTGAACTGCCTTGTTGCCAATATTTTTTCCAGTGGACCTATAATAAACAATAAGTGTTTCTTACCTCTTAGGTGGAGGCTCAAACATCTAGAATTTTTTACCTTCTGGCTTTGAAACTGCTCTGTATCTCACTAAACAACATCCACTCATCAGTTGCAAAGGATGAGTTCCAAATTTTTGATTCCTGTTGTTCTTGGACAGCTGTTGCCTGTAATGCTCCATATTTAATGTAGTTATGCTTTATTATTTCTGCTTTGGGCTGATGAACGACCATTGACTTGTTGTGAATGATCCAGGCAGCTGACTATTCTGCATTAAAAAAATGTTATTTAAAAAATTTTACTTAAAAAATTAAAATTTAAAATGTTAATTTAAACAATTAGATTAGCATTTAAATGTTAGCTAAAAAATTTAAACCTAGAACTTCTCAGCTTTGCCCTCCAAGGCTGTAACAACAAGTGTTGGTTTTGCCACTTGAATACTCAGCTGTCTTCTCTCAGAAATGCTGTGGTGGAGAGGAAGAGCTGTGACAGACTCTTAGCAGTGCTTTTCAGAGGTTCAGCACTTCTGCTCGTGCTGAGTGTGACTCACTGCTCTCCCTCCCCCATGCAGGACCTCTGGTAACCTTTCCTTTATATGGTACTTTGGGTACAGCTATCTTAATAAAATCTCAACTCCTCTCTGGTTTAGTTACAGGCTACTGTGTTATGGATGGGGAGTTCTTACCAGAGATGCACATCTGCAATCTGAGTGTGTTTCTGGAGTCTTGTGAGGGATTACATTGCAGATAAGAATAGGGCTGAGCTGTTAAACTGGGTGGAATCCACACACAAATTTCTCAAAGGTCATGTGTGTTTAGACCCAGAGTTCTGCTTCAGGGCCATTTCCAGTCATAGGCAACTCACTCACTGCAAAATGAGCTAGTGTGTACTGGAATTTAAGATGAATTCTAACAAAAGAGAGATTAGACCTGTGAAGGAGGATTTGGAAATGTAGGGAATAATGTCAGGCTGACATTTTGAGATAGAGGGTGTCCAGCATTGTGCTGGAGGAGCCACCTCCCAAAATGACCAAAAAACATTGGAATAAGTTGAATGTTTATGCAGATTATTTTCTGTCATGTTATTATACTCTAGACATGTGGGGAAAGTCGTGTACTATCTAGTAGAGACTTCATCTCATCTATGAATTTGACCCAAATAATTTTCTTGTGAAAATACTTGTCCAATGTCTTCAGCTGCTTGCCATCATGACATGGGAAAGGGTGGAACAGATGTTTCATATACTTCACTTTGCTAAATTATCTCCTTCCAACAGATCTCAGGATCACGAGTTTCTCAGTTTTATAAGGAAGAAATTCATACTGTTTATGGTAGTAATGGATTGCAAAGTGAAAAGCAAATGTAGTAGTTGATAAAAAGGATTTCTGGGAAGCACATGACTAATAATTGTATCTCTGTGAGAGAGGGGGATCTCTCTTTAGTTCACAGTCTATTTTCAACAGGAAAATATTGACAAATTGTTTTCTTTCATTTATGAGTTCCTTGGCTTGTGCACGTTTAAGTAGCTGGCTCTTTATGTTAAGCAGTGATTGAGTCCTTAAAATTTATTTGTAACCTGTTTTGAGTAGCTGATAATTAGGGCTGAAGATAGCTCCGTGGCACTGATTAAATTCCAGAGAATTCCCTGGATTTTGTCAGAGTCCACTGGGATGAACAGGAGTAGAGTCTGGTTCCTTGTTGAATTGTAGTGAGGGAAGCTTGTAATAAAACAATAAAGCTAGGGAGGTGCTCTAGACTCCAGGAATCTGGATTCAGATCTCTGCTCTGTGATTTGGAGAAGTGAAATAAAATCTGTGTCTTTGGAGGTGTTCAGGGAGCTGCATACATGTGAGAATTTGATGTTCATCCCTGTGTTTGTTCTTCATCTGTTAAACTGGTGCACCCACACATTCTTGGGAGGTTGCTTACTTTTACCACTGTGAGGTCTCCTGTGGCTGTGTCAGTGGAGCCCTCACCAAATATTTTATCCAGAATAGGCTGGAAACTTTGAGGAGGGAGAGTGCTTTTAGAAGAGGAGCTTATGTTTAGAGGCGCTGTTGAAAAAACAAACCAGTGCGAGTTAAACCATTATCTGAAGGATGTCTGTGTCCTTTTCAAGGATTGGGCAATCCTTTCAGAGAGATGTGGTAACTGCAGCAGCACAGACACCACGTTTTGGGGCCAGCTGCCCTTCCCTTCCTTCCTAGCCCTGCCATGACTAATGGATACCCTTTGGCTGGGATCTGGCGCTTGGATTCTTGTTGATATTTTGTGCCTTACTTCAAAAGATGCCCAGTCTAAAAATCAGGCCTTGTCTCTGGAAAGAAGGGGCCTAGGGAATATTGCAGAAAGCTGTTGTGATTAGTGCTGAGCCCATGGGGCAGTGACAGTGTCCTGAATTACACTCGGGTGTTGTGTCCTGTTTATGAAATGAAACCCAAGAGTTCAGACATGCAGACTTGTTTAGAGAAGTCTCTGGAGGAGAGAGAATTATCTTGAAAGGCTGCTTGGGAGGGGAGGGATGGTGTTTTTGTGGATTGGACAAAGTACCATGAATTTCTTGTCATGGAGCCAAAAGCAAGTGTCCCTGCAATGGTATGTTAGCCAAATGAGAGAATTCTACTGCTATCAGGCTTTTAATAAATTCAAAACATGTTCTTTGGAGACTGGTGACACACAGACTTATCCAGAAAATAGGAAATGTGTGACTGGAAAAGTTTTCAGGACTGTGAAGGGCAGGTGCAATGTGGGCCATTACTGTTA